CCGTGACCTGTGTATTCACAACAGTTGGTAGGCTGTCGTAGATTCGCAGGTGGTAAGGGTTCGATCTATAGACCTGTTGGATAGAGGTCTTAGTGAGGCCTAGAGGTCGTAGCTGTAGGTGTCCTGAGAGGTCAAGGTCGTAGCTGCTACAGTCCTGAAAGGTCAAGGTCATAGCTGCTATAGTATTCGAAAGGCCAAGTCTACAGCCTTCCAGAAGGTCCTAATGGTGACCTTTCGAAGTATTGCTCACGTTTAGACAAAGGCAAGTGGGCAAGTGGTGAGCCCAACTGTGGTACGTCGGCAGTGCGACCGCATTGAGTTGGCAGTGCAAAGCCATGCAGTCAACGGTACCGGTCCCAGTCAGTCACAATCCAGTCAAGCAAGTACCGTGTGGGACTGTGCGCACCAGGGGCATGGGATAGGGGCAGACCAACGAGCTACAGAAGTATAAATCAAGGCCCAGCCATTCATTCATTCCTGCGGAAGCCATGCGGAATCGCTGCTTGAGCGAATTGTGCGAGGTGGTCTGCAGAGCGCTCGAAGACGAAGTGGGCAGAGTAGAGGTTGTGTAGCCATAGCCAGCAGGGTTGAGCGGCCATAGCTGCTGTAGATGATAGGCGAGTGTGGTGTGTGCCTGTGTGTGATACCGTGTGTCGCGTGTGGGATATCCAAGGTGATCCTAAGTGGAGTGTGTGTGAACAGCAGGGTTAAGCACAATGACGAACAGAGAGTTGTACAGGCGCTGATGCGCCATAACCTGTTGAAGCGAGCATGTATCTGAACTGTGTTTCCGACTTCCATATCTCTGAGCTCTGAGTGGGCGCTGAGCGCCAGTGTGACTTCTCATCTATCTGCACGAATGCGAAGTGGAAAAGAAAGCGAGTCTGATTGCAGATACGAAAAACGAACAAAAAACAAGAAAACAAAGCCAAACCAAAACACTATGCATGTGGGGTATAGTGGAGTGAGGCCCTAACGTTCACAGATCAAGTTCGAATCCCGAATCCGGATGTGTACTCCCACTCTCCAAATGTCCAAAATGAAAACAAATCCTCCGCTAGAACATGGAAAGATACACAGCTATATTTTCACGTTCCGTGCATCCACAGAGTCGCGTCAAAATCAGCAACGGAATCAACAGGCGTAGTTCAGCTGGTACACGCATGAACACTTGAAATTAAGACCTCGGTTTGCATCCCCATCAACAAAATGAAGGGAACAAAATAGTTTGAAGAGAAAAAAAAATCAGCAACGGGCCTTGCTCCGCCACTCTCCAAATAGGCAAACTGCGAACTAATCCTCCACCAGAACATGGAAAGACACACCGCCCGGCGCATGCTCCACTACTCACGGCATGCACAAACGACAAAAAATATGGCGCTGTATCTTCTGCGAGGAACAAGCCCTCAAGGGGCCCTATCAGACATCACATGATCTGGGCCAAGGCCCCCAGCAAGCCGAGTGCCCGCCCTAAGTGAAGGTGGGCCTGAATATTCGTCAGAGGCAAAATTCGACATTCCCATATTTGGGTGTTCCGGCTCTTGCAGCACGCCAGTTGGTTGGGTAGACGCGTGAGCCTCACAAAGCTGCGGCCCAGGCCTTGACAGTTGCACCTGGGCACATACACACAAAGCAGGCCCGATACATTGGGAAGCAGGCCATCGGCCTTTGCAAAAGCAGTACCGCCAACGCACCTGCCTGGGAGCCCTGCACAGAAGCAGCAAACAGCCCAAGTCCGGAGACTCAGGCCGTGCCCAACTGAAAAGGGCCCAGGCACTCAACTGTAGTCTCGGGCCAGGGCGCAGGGTCTGGGGCTCAAAAGGAAGCTACTGGAAGCTTCCAGCCAGGCCACACGCAGCACCCAGGAGGCTGCCACTTCCATAAAAGAAGTGAGGCAGCCCAGGCCATTATTGTGGCCAGTGCTGGCAAAATGCGGAAGTGCTGCTGCGCTATCGCTTGATGCTGCGCTGCTGCCAAGGGCGCTGACGGGGCGCGTAGTGGTGAAGTGGGGCGCTGCAGGACAGCGGGGCGCAGGCGGCCATATCCGGGCTGCTGGGCGCCAGGGGTTACAGCGGGTGATCTGGTGGTCTTCAGGGAAGGAGGCGAGTGTGGGGTAATCAAGGTCTGATTGAGGGTGACGAGATACGTACCTGGTGCATGAAGAGAGGTCGGCTATGGAGTTGACAGTCATGTACATTGGTCTTCAAGAGTCGAAGTGAGCCTGTTGCGTGAACCAGCTGTAGGTAGGATAGT